GAACCAGACTTGCTAGCGTACTGTGAAATACAGCGAGCGCTGTATTATATTGCTTTATCATATAAAGTATTAAGTCTCGCTATATCACTGTATAATATCAGGTATTAAGTCCGCCCATTGTAAGCCTTGATTTAGGTGATACCAATACCGAGGTGATCCGTGTGGTGGCGGTAAAAGAGAGTCCGCGATGTAAGGTTTCCGATGGATAGCGTTAGGACCATCTCTTTACGTCAGCCGTAATCAATATACCCAATCGCAGAACAATATCAAATGTGCAAGGCGTCACGGGTTGGGATCTTAAATCAAGTGTAATAACTAAGGAAAATACTCTCTAAACTGGGAAAGGCCCACACCCAGTTGTGAATTTTCATGGCCTGATAATGAAGAAGAAAAAATAAAACAATAAACTAACGCATATTTGATAGAATCAGGCGTTACTTTGCGGAAATCCATTATAATGTTGCGCACCTAAGTTGACGTCTGGCACTAGCGCCATCTAAGCTCGTAACAATAATAAAGATATTAATATTTATAATTAAAATATTAGAATAAAGAATTTAGCGAATGGTTGCTTGATGGTTGTAGTAAATATCAATATCTTTATTATAACGCATATTATTTTTATTTTATAAAAATATTTCAGATTGATTTTCAAAATTATTGCAAATAAAAAAAACTCTACTCGGTAACAAACCCTCCTTACAACCAGAAACTATTCTGGAGGCCAATTGCCAAAAATAACTAAGTTGTGAGAGTTGATGTTCATCCTGCTCTCTTGCTAACGCAATTAATCATTAAATAAGACAGCTTAAGGGACTATACGTAAGGTATAGAGCAATTACAGTTCGACTATACTGTTTTATTTACACACTGGTAGAACATTATTATATGATAACACCAAACTATGCAAACCAACAGCGACACCACCCATCTCAACGTAACACAGGACAGTCTCTCAGCAACACCATCCTCCTAGCCTGCACCAGAATAACCACTACAACGGACGTAATGACTTCACTCGTAGAATAATGCAAGCGAAATCTCTCGTGCTCGGCGCCTACACTGAATTTTTACTGCACAAGCGGGTAGAGGGTTTTCCGATCTATCCTCAATTCTACCCCGCCACCATTGATATAACGCTCCGCTAGAGTGACGCAACCTCTCGCTCACTCTTTATCCATATCGGTATTTTGTAGACACACCGACAAATACAATAATAGCGCTACAAGCTTAGTGCTCATTGAAACTATTCCAACGAAAAAAATATCTAAATAGTATACCGACGAAAGCGTGATGTCGATTAAAATTATTCATAATCATGTTCACTGGCTGTGAAAAAGGAAACGCTACAAAACAAAATCGATGTTGTAGGCATAATAATAAATAACTATATCAAGTATATTCTAGTCTATTGTAACAGACAAAATAAATAAATAGATGGAACTAAGAAAAATATTAGCATGGAGAATTTCCTTCTTGAATACTTGTCACTGCTGATTGTTTTGTCCTAAACTATTACCGTCAGGTACTTATCGCAGTGCAAAAAATACTGAGAATTTTCTTGTTATTCGTAACAAAAATATCATTTGGAACATAGTCATTAATCTTTACTCTCGGAAAGTTTTAAATGTTTTTACAAACATGATAATTTTATAAATTCAACAGAAGATTTTTACAACGAAAACTTATTTATTTTTATTACAACGAGTGATCCAGAATTTAATAATTGTCACCTTGGATTGGCCTTTTAGTTCCAACTCCAACTTAAAAAATTCGTCCCATTTTAATTTCAGCACAATATTTATAAACTCTTGTTTAAATCGAATATTATACAATACAAGATTACGTCAGGTATCGTGAAAAGTTCTGATTCTGATGTTACTATTTTTGGTTATAAAAGTGACACCAGTATATAGAGGGTATGTTCCGAAATAGAATACAGTATACTGGCCAATGTAAATGACATCATAAATCGACGCCATAATTGTGATTCGTTATATCGAATATGACGGTTATGACGTCAATAAAAAAAACTGTGTAGAGTAAAAAGATGTGTACCATTTTCATTATTGTATGATCTCATAAACCCAAAGAATATAACTGTAATTTATAAAATGATTAAAGTGTGTGATTCGTAAATTTGTTCTGTTTTATTCGCACGTCGTATTTTTTACGAATGCTTAGTAACAACGTATTTTGCAGGTTAGTTTAGTAATAAAGGGTTAAACACTAAACAACTAATAAAAGTAAATTGTGTTAAAGATATCTAGAAAATGATTTCTTATAAACGAATAATCAAAGTTTTCGAATAATTATCGTCATTACAGTCCATCACAAGCCCATACCTGAACATGGCTTACTTCATAGATTGACGCAAAGTTGGGTCTTATGCCCCTTGGTTTTTCATGAATTTTTCATTTATGTGATCGTACTAAGTCATAATTATTTTTGTTTGTATGTAATTTGTCTTCGTCAAAAAATATAAAAAATTTTTTTCTTAGTAGCAGCAGCATCACAAGTTCGTACTCGCTGTTTTACATCATCTCAGAGGTCCCTATCAAGTTTATGTCTGGACTTTGCGCTTGCTACCGTATACCAGAGATCCCTACCTCTTGAAGGTAATCATGTACAATTAATGCAGTGTGGCAGCGGGCGTTGTCAACAACCAGTTTTAGCGACTCATTTTCCTACGTTGATATGCTACGCTCTGATAGGACGGTCGCTCTCAAAGTAAAAAATTACTCTTAAAACTAATAAAAATTCATTTAAAACTAACTTCTCTATTAAATTACATTGTATAACAAAAAACTTCACTTGAGTCTCAGATAGTGACATCTGGCGGGTGGATTAACATAAGCACTCACTAGGCGGGTTGGTGAGCACAAAGTTAAAACTAACTTTGACATCATACGATTGTCAGAAGCTCGTCGGTCAATCACACCTATGTATGTAATTACTCTAAGTTGAATCAATTCTAAGCAGTGACCACCGTATGCAGATGAGGTTGTCAATTGAAGAAAATTCTTTGTATTCTTTTATATAACTTCATATCATAAATTGCAGTATAGCCGAATAGAAAATGTCAAGACAATCTCATGGTCTCAAATCCTACAATGTCATATGCAAACCAGCGTCAAAGATGTCCAATATGAGAAGAGAGACCCAAGTGAATCAGTGGACTATTTTGGGCTGATTAGTACAAGAATCACTATTTATTTCAATTGGTCAAAAATTTAAGAGCTAACAACTTTAATAACTAATAAGCACTACTTACAACTTACTAATACGTACCTACTCACTTCTATGTAAAATATTGTAGTTACAAACGACCACCTACCAGAACTTGACTTCAGAAAAAATAAAAACTGTGGTTACCTACTAAAAATTAATCGAAACACGTAGTAAAACAGTTGTATATATGTACTCAATAGTTGTGAGAAAGGTGCTACTTGATTATAAATCCAGTCACATTTTCACTTGAGAACATTCTATCTCTGCTAGTATTTACTGTGCGGACATACACAAGTGCCGATGATTTATTACTTTTGCGTTCCAACCATAAATCCTTCGGGCTTGTGGCATTGTACAGTTGATATTTGTACTATTATGAATCTAAATATTTTCATTTAGTGTCCACTATAGGTTTTTTTTATTTCTGAATATTATCCTCTAAATTCTATTTCTATTTCCTCGTGAAGTGTTGTAATTGTGACCAACAATAATTTTTTTGATATAAACTTTATTATGATAGTTATTTGTTGATGTTAGTTATTGTTTATAAGTTAATTATTTAATAAATTTAAACTCACTTGCACGTGGTGTACCCTGTTAGCTTGGCGAACTAACAATGGAGATAGTGAACATTAGTAAGGTAGTATGGTAAGTTGCAACCGTTTTTGTTTATAGGATTTTTGAAAATAAAACATCATTGGGAAGCGTACCATTTATTTGCCACAAATTGATAACAATATACTTATTAAATTTTCTTAATGTAACGCACGCATATTTACGCCACCCATCATAAGTGCAGCTGAGGACGATCCTCATTCGCTTACAAATATATGAAAATTAAATAAGTTCTTAAATATGCAATTGGACAGCGCAGTGGACACTTTCTTACAACAAATCCCTCTCAGAAATGAGTGGTGGTCTGTGCAATGATGTGCGAGGTATAAAAACTACGGATTTACTAACTTTAATTAAAAAAAAATATATAGACTAATAATCGACAGTATATTGTCAATGCAAGAGAATCCATAAATACAAAAACTGTAGCATCGATACAGATGTCAAAACAACAATAATTTTAGGAAAGTTGTTGGACTGTCCGTCTTTGGGGTGGATTTTTACCAAATTATTGTGACCAGTATTTTTATCCATACATTTTTTATTATTTTGCGTTGTTATTAGGAAGATGCTACTATAAATCACGTGTTTTCCCTTTGTACGCCTGTTACAACACCCAGGGAACGTATGGTATACTAGATATTCTTATACCAGTACCCGTTAGTATTTATATATTACAGTTTTTCAAATTTATAATTGTTTAATAAAAAAGAATCATCAAAATCGCTTCACAGTGATGAAGTATTGCGAAACATACAAGCAAAAAACGTACAGTTTAAACCTTCCATTTTTTTTAAATACAAAGGAATTCAAAATGGGAATCGAATCTAATCTAGTATCTTTTATAAATTAAATACAATAGATGATGCTATTTTCTTTGATGTTACCAATATGTTTACATGTTTATATATAGAGATAAAGATGAAAACATTATTCATTTAACGGAATCATTAGTAACTACATACAAACTTAAAACAATACTTGTTTCCAAGGTATGTTTTTAACGTAAATACGCAGAGATTATTTATAAAAAAGCAAAAAGAAGCAAGGACTTATATTAAAATGCAATTTTAATCGCTTTCTTTTTAGTTTTTTAAATGTTTTGTTATCTGAATATTTATATCTATTAATTAACTTTTTGTCTGCAATTTTTCATGCTCGGATTTGCGCTGTTGACGTCACGAGGCAGCCAGCAGTACACGGCGCTCAGTATACACGATCTAACGCAACAGATTGTTGACGTCAATAACATGATGGTGGCGTGCGATTACGCGTCACGGTCGTTACCTCACAGTCGCCATCATCTGTCGCGGCCGTATATCCTTGAAGTGGATGAACACATGTCAAAAATATCTAAAAATGAAAACAGCAGCTACTTTGCCGAATGGATACCCAGTAACGTCAAAACTGCCATCTGCGATATTCAGCCAAGGGGACTTAAGATGTGTGCTACATTGATCGAAAATACCAAAGCCATACAAGAGCTATCTGAGATTATCTGAGCAGTTCACCGCCATGTGTTGTAGAAATGCTTTCCTTCATGGTACAATGGTGAAGGCATGGATGAAATGGAGTTTACAGAAGCGGAGAGCATTATGAATGACCTAGTATCGGAGTACCCACAGTACCAAGGTTCAACGACCTACGACGTGGGCGAGTTAGAGGAGGAAATTGAAGAAGAATAGATATTGTAATCGTCCAATGTTTTGTACATTTTGTCTGTCGTTTAGTGTCTGGCGTAACGTATTAGTTATTGTAAAGTGGTGAAAAAAAAGTTTTCCAGGTTCTATTTTAAAATTCTAAATTACGTCATTTCTCCTCCTTGTCAGGTTCCTAATATACAATTTAACTCTATTTAAAATATCTTCGTTTGAGTACGTTTATACCTTAGTTAACTTTTTGTATCAAATCTTGTAAATAAAATGATAATAGCGACCAATTTTATTGGACGCGTACCTATTTGCATAATACAAACTTGATTAAGTCTTTATTAGGTTTGATCCAGTGGCTTTTTGTGATAAACAACTCTTTGCAGATAGTCAGCATTAAAAGTTGAATAGTGTCAGTAGATTTTTTATTTCTTCTAGAAAATGTTTTGTTGAACGTATTATCTATTTCTTTTCATTTTGATCAAGGATATGTCTTTAACATTTAAGAAAATGCCAAAAATGAGGATACTCGCGCAGTTCTTTTTCTGAGAAAGGAACATCGTTTTGAAACGGTAGAAGATTAAAAATCGTGTTGACGTTAGATAAACTGAATTTTATTTTCTTACATCAAAAAATAAAGAATTATTATTTCATTTCAAAACTAAAGAGAGAAAAACAGTCCTTGGATTAGAATAGAATTTGACATGATAGAAGATGCCTATGTTCGCGCCAGGGCTTTCCGTTTTCTGCCTGGAAATTAGAACCGTGGAAAATTGGTTTAGAATATAAGAATAAACATTGTGGTAAATTTGAGTTCTACGAAAATACAGTTATTGTTCTTTTGAAAGTGTCTACTCTGTTGTATATGACCTTGAAACTCTCAGAGCTGTCTGCCATTTTTTTCAACGACAATAATAAAATGTAATAATAACATTTTTATGGCAGCCTTAACACTATAACGTTGCACTCGATACTTACACTTTCACACCTTCGATAGCTCAGTGGCTCTTTATGGCAGGTATGAGGAAGTAAATGAAAAAGTATTATAGAGTTTGTCAGAATAAGTCGTAAGTCTAATGGGCACTGGCCATTAGATTATAAATAAAATTGGATATAGTTAGAACCACTGACCTCTATATATACATAGAGGTCAGTGGTTGTAAGTAGAATTTTCAAATTTGTAATTGGTTGTTAATTGCGTTTATTCATAGTCTGTTCATAGTCTATTGACATAATTGTTCAAAGTTTAGTTAGGTTGTTAGGGTAAGTTATTTTAATAGTCCTAGTGGTCATTAATTATGGACAATGCTATTTCTTTGAACATGTTCTATATTTCTATTAACAATTCATAACTGATTTTCATGTATTCTTTATATTAAATTTATATTTTTATTATGCGAATTATTTTGAATACAGAATGACTTTTCAAGATAAGTAATCTAAGTTTGTTTTCTTCTTTGCAGCACCAGTAAAAATGCCACGATATTGGCAGTTTCGTGAGTGAATTTTCGTATACTAAGATATTAAAAATGATTGATCACGTATGAAGACGACAGCTTTTATACGACTCGCAGAGATCCGATATTAGGCCACGTAGTAAGTAGATTCTTTTGTGCTTCATAGATCTCACTGTGTGCGTCCACAGTGAATGTGCGGTGTCCAGGGCCTGTTGTGGGCGCGACGGCGGGGATGTGCAATAGCCATAGTGCCGAGCGAGCTATTGGAGTACTTAGACCGTATTTCAGGTATTGCAAACCATGGGCGAGGATTTAGTATTTTTACTAGAAAGTCCGATCCTGAGATGGGGGATGTTGAACATAAGAGAGGGTGTGCACGAAATAAATAAAAACAGAGAAATAAATAGTGATTTTTTTACTTTGTATTAACAATTGAGATTGTACCCTAGAATTTTTTTATTGAGGATTTAGTATTTTTACTAGAAAGTCCGATCCTGGAATGGGAGGTGTTGAACATAAGAGAAGGTGTGCACGAAATACATAAAAACAGAGAAATAAACAGTAATTTTTTTTCTTCGTATTAAGAATTGAGACTGTACCCTAGAAATTTTTTTGAGTATTCGTGTCAACATTTAATTACATCCTGAGACTGCTTACGCTGAGCGACAAGACCGAACTGGTTTGATACCACCGCTATCCGCGCGTGGGGTCGCTTGCTGACCAGGTCCGTAGTGGGGCCATAACGCGCGGATAGAAACGTTAGAAAACTACATGCGCTATCTCGCTCATGCCCGACGCTCTAAGCGCCCGCCTTAGTGACTACACTATGAACGCAAACAGCGGTTTCATATGTTTGATACTTCTCGCTCGTCGTCGCAACCACGCTCGGCTCGTACTGTGGACGTACGCTCTAAAGCACTAGCTTTGCTGCGGGGCGTTTAACACGGCTGTTATTTTACCTTTTATCATTGCAGTCTTCTCGTGATGGTGTTGTAAGAGAATCTATCCCCTCATTTCCTCCCGAGGGTGTTGTAAGGAGCGACCATGTCAAATGCCAGAAACATATTATTTTTCCCGATTGTTGGCTGGTGTTTGGTGATGGTTTAAAATAGTATCTTATACGCTAAATACCTTTTTGTCAGACTTAAAATTTCTGTGGTTATTATAAGATCAAATTATGAAATCTCTAAAAGATTTTGTGTTTCTGCTATAGGACTATCTCTCTACTACATAATATAAATTGACAGAGGGGTGACGAGGAGTGACAAACGTGTGAAACGTCTCTAATTACGATCTTGAATTAGTCTTTGCTACGCACTATGCAACCGAACCTCCACCGGAGATCCTTAGCACCCCCTGCCCCGCCGTTACCATGGTCGCCACCGTTGCTAGGAATAGCGGGGTCGCCGGGGACTGGGGGCCGTCTATTTGTGTAATTGTTCATGGGGGGTATATTTCCATAGTTGCCACGCTTGGCGAGCGGGTTGGCAACCGCAATTTTTTTGATCGTACAGTTGCTGTTATCAGGAAGATGCTGCTGCCCATCTCCTGCCTGTCTCCCTCTGTTAACTAATAATAACTTAATAATAACTCTGCCTGTTTCCTCTTAACCTAAACGTTAAGTTGGAGAGGTCTCGTCTAATGAAGTCAACGCTCCGTCCCCCTCGTGCTCTAATCCAGAATCCCGAAAACTTTCAGCTCGAGTTACGTAACGGCTTTCAGTGCCTACAAGATTGCATTGCAGTGGACGATATGAATGACAAGCTCGTGGAAACTGTCCATGCGGTCGGAGCTAAGTTCTGCAAGACCCGCCGCAGAAGAACACAAAAAACTCTCCGATCACATTCTTAATCTCATGGCTGTTAGACATGAGACGAGGCTGCAATCATCAACAGATTTGACTGCATACAGACTACTGAACAGACAGATCTCCAAATGCATGCGGCGAGACTTACACAACTTTAATACTGCTCGTATTAAAGAAGCGATCGAGCGGAACCAGGGCTCCAAAGTCTTTGCCAGAGATCTGTCTGCCAGTAAGAGCCAACTGTCAAAGCTGAAGACTGAGTGTGGCAACATCGTTTCCGGGACACCTGAGATTTTGAGTGAGATTGAGAGGTTCTATGGGCAGCTGTACACATCATCGTTGGAGCCACACGCAAGTATGAGTAACGATCCAAGAGCAAGTCTTATCCGACACTATTCCGATGATATCCCGGACGTCAGTCTGAGCGAGATTAGAATGGCTCCCCAGCACCTTAAAAACGGCAGGGCCCCAGGCAAGGATGGAATTACAGCGGAGCTTCTGAAAGCGGGTGGAACACCGGTACTTGAAGTCCTTCAGAAGCTCTTCAATTCCGTCCTCCATGGTGGCACTACTCCAGAGGCGTGGAGCAGAAGTGCGGTGGTCTTGTTCTTTAAGAAAGGCGACAACGCTCTCTTGAAGAACTACAGACCGATTTCCCTTCTGAGCCGCGTCTACGTGCTGTTTTCGAGAGTCATTACGAATCGTTTCGCACGCAGACACTCCGAAAGCGGTTTCCGAAAAGGCTGCAGTACCATAGACCACATACATACCCTGCGGCAGATTGTACAGAAGACTGAAGAGTACAATCTGCCACTTTGCCTGGCGTATGTGGACTATGAGAAAGCCTTTGATTCCGTCGAAACTTGGGCGGTGCTACAGTCCCTTCAGCGGTGCCAAGTTGACTGTCGGTATATCGAAGTGCTGAAGTGTTTGTACAGTAGGGCTACAATGGCTATCCGAGTAAAGAGCCAGAGCTCGAAACCTATCCAACTGCAGAGAGGTGTAAGGCAGGGTGACGTTATATCCCCGAAACTCTTCACCGCTGCATTGGAAAACGTTTTCGAGCTACTGGACTGGAAAGGATACGGTATTAACATCAATGGCGAGTACATCACTCACCTTCGATTTGCTGACGATATAGTCCTTATGGCAGAATCGCTGGAGGACTTAAGCACTATGCTCAATGACCTCAATAGTGCCTCCCAACGCATAGGTCTTAAGATGAACATGGACAAAACAAAGATCATGTTTAATGTCCATGTCACACCTATGCCGGTAGTTGTTGGGAGCACTATGCTCGAAGTTGTTGACGAGTACGTTTACCTGGGACAAATAGTCCGACTAGGTAAGTCCAACTTCGACCGAGAGGTCAATCGACGGATTCAACTCGGCTGGGCAGCGTTCGGGAAATTACGACACATCTTTTCGTCAGGTATACCTCAATCTCTGAAAACTAAAGTGTATAACCAGTGCGTGTTGCCAGTGATGACTTACGGATCTGAGACGTGGTCCTTCACTGCTGGCCGTATGAGGACGCTCAAGGTCGCTCAGCGAGCTATGGAGAGGGCTATGCTCAGAGTTTCTCTTCG